TTCTTGGGATGGATTTGTATATATTGAGCTAAAATTACACCTATTCTAGAAAACTCGAAGTTGGTGTGTGGTGTTAACTCTCCAGTAGTTACCAAGAAAATCAACCGGATATTTCCTACAGCCTACATCGGGCTGATTTTGCGCCGAAGAATTGGATCGTAGGTCTTCTTTTTCTGATCACATGCCTATTTTGTTTCTAGCTTCAGCTCTAGGTCTCGGGCTAAAGTCTTGGGAGGCTCTAACGTCGATTTGCCATAGATCTTTCCGGTGCAGCCAGTTCTTCATCTTCGTTTGGAGTCCAGTCTTCTGGCATTCTACTGGGTTTTCCGCCATGGCCTCGAAAGATCTATTCTTAGCTGGTTAAATATGGCTACAATAAATAGGAAGGATATAAGATAGAGCGCAGTAGCCCTAGAATTAAAGCTTGCGCCCTAGTAAATAGACTTAACTAAGCGCTACTAGCAAAACGTCATCGTTACAAGCGCATACAAAAGCGGAAAGGCTCTACATGCAGCTGTCATACGGTTAAACAACCGGCGGCTCCTTACATAGCACCGCAATCGTTAGGGCGGTGGAGATATGCTGCAGTTCGACCTCTAACAGCTGTGTGGATTTTGAAATGTTCATGTTTGTGAGGGATGGGTACTAGCAGAGGCTGCAGAACTGCGGTGGTGGTCATGCTTGGCGATGTTATACTATACACTAAAGTTGCATCTAGCACTGTTTTCTTCAGCTTAGTCTACAAACTATTGCCTTCGGCGCAAGGGTCGGCCCGGTGTGGGTCGGCTGCCCTCCTTGCTAGCGCCACCAAGGCGTTCGTCCACTTAAGAGATAAGCATGGTCAGCCTAGTCGTTTGCTAATTCGCCCTCTGCTGCAGTCCCTGCATCTGCGTCCTCCACGATGGTCTTCCTCTCAATCCCCTCAACGACCCTTCGAAGGTTGGCTAGCTCATAAGTCAGAACAACTCGACATATCATGACACTTGCCATGAGCCGGACGATAACAATAACAGCATCGTCCACCGAAATAAACAGCACACCAGAAAACAGTATTGTGCCGTATACGATGTGGCATACTGCCAGTGCGTTGGTAAGCCAGTAGATGGCAAAGAAGAGCAGAGATTCTTCGAGAATTACAACGCGAAGCCGAGTTTGTTGTGCCATCGGCTTGAACTGGTTAAAGGCTGCGTTCACACAATGCCGATATTTGTGGCCACCCTCATGATCTCTCCTGAGAGTTGTGACCTTCGTTCTGAGGTAAAGCGCCAGCGCTCCCAATCCATGGATGACGAAGCCAAGGAAGGCCCAGAGGAAAAATGTATATTCATTGCCTGTGAATGTAGCCGTGAGAACTTGTGCTCCTAGTCGATAGCACAGCTCGGCAATATTTCCTATCGATGCAGCAGCAGCAAGGTACTCTAGGACGACAATGATTGGTTCGAGGCGGATGAAAAATGCGGGGCTTGAAAAATTGCGATCGTGCAGGTCCCCTATAGCTCTGGCATATTCGAATGACCGGAGAGCAAAGACTGCAGGTGATCCAGCTGCAAGAAAACCTGCTAGCAGTGGTCTTCGGGCAATCACAGAGAGCATAGCGGTTTCCTGGGGGCTTGTGCCGAGAGTCGCGAGGATTGATGGAGTAAGACTATGGCACGGGTTAGCTCAGCACCCTGCTACTTTGGCTTGGGAGCGAATGTACCCGAGAACAACCTGAACTTATTAGCGAGCTGTTCCGAAAACAGAATTGAAAGATTCCGACCTGCGCTGATGCCATTTTTGCTTTGATAAGTTCAGGGGTAGCCTCGAGAAGACACTGGACGACATCGTGCGTCATGGTGTCCATACCAAATATCTTCAGACCCGGATCAAGCCTAGTAATGTTTTCTCGATCCTCTAGATATCTGGTGTAGTTGCCAGCGCATTCTTTATTCAAGAGCTCTTGAAATCCACGGTTAAATTCTGGGAAGAACCCCGCGAAATTATCTGACCAGGTGGAGGAAACGAATGACAAGCTGCTGAGCAACACAAAGCCGCTCAGGAACCATGAAGAGAGCATTACCGCTTCAAATCACTAGTTGGAATACCTGTAGAATGCGGATATATGATGGAAACAAGAAGGAGGATAGGCGTTTAGGCAGAGGAAACGGGGTGACGAGTCAGACAAATATGCAGTTTCCTCCTCAGCCTGTCCCGAACCGTAAGCTGACGCGCTTGGCCGCTATTCCCGGGGCCGTACGACGTCAGTTCAGCCTTTATCGACCAATCAAGCACCCCCGCCACTATCTTCTGCTGCCACATATCTTGGTCTACTTGGCGAGAAACTCCCCGTGACGAACCCAATGTTCAGCCTTGCACCTCTGCCCAACTACGACTATTTACATATCTCTTAGTTCCGGAGCATTAAGACGATAGTCTTGTTGAAAAAGAAAATACTTTAAACTTTAAACACACTCCGCTGTGGAAAGTGTGCAATTCGGAATTCCTCTATGCGAGGGTATTTACGATGTGTCTTGGCGGAGGATTTAGTGCGCTTATAGTACTACTCGTCCCACGCGCTAAGGTCTTTGACCTTGTCCTGGCTGGTTCAACGCCAAAACATACCACCTGAACATTTTCCACACGCTATTTTTCTACACAACCCGTTGCAATCAAGGTTTGGCGCGTAAGAAAACGTGAAGCAGCGTATCTAGAATGCTTTCGACAGTATTGAAGACGATAAGAAACCCAATTTGAGTAGTTTAACCTATTTGCTAAAGCGCAGGCTTTAATTCTAGGGTTCTAGTAAACGGTGCCCGCATTCGCTCTATAAACTTGCATATGAGTCTTGTAACTAAAACTAATCAGCAATTGATACGTCAAATACCACAAAGTTCATCTTCCCCACGAAAATACGACTCAATTTCTCCCTCATCACCACTTCAAACACGTCCTTGAGCATACTGGCGGAGAACTTGAACCATCCATTGCATTGTATTTCCCCCGTGCCATCCCTGTATTTCGCAGTGATCGCCACCGGCTTCTTCATCTCCATATAGTCCCCAGACAGCAGCTTCACAAATGTGTCGTCACCGTCATCTGCATCAAAGCTCTCTAATGCCTCATCATCGATGACCATACACCATTCATGTTTTGGACTAAACAGTCCTTCTTCATTGTATGTGTCCTGGTAGCCAGGCTCAAATAGTCTCTCGGAATCGAGTATCCAAGCATAGCATGTGGGAAATGAGTGTATACCTCAGAGAGCAACGCGTTGGGCATAATAGCTGCAGGGATAAGAAGTACAGTATCTATCATGCCTTGGTTATAAGAAACGGGGTGAGAGTCACGCAGGTTTTCGGTTGCGAGGTCGTGGAATTTGTCTAGTAGCTTTTGGAAATAGGTGTTGTCGTCAACGACTTATACAGCGCATTAGTCACTCTCCTAGTACTATAGAGTAGAAAAATACCCCCTTTTTTGTCCGGGGAGCTATTTTGATCAGAATTGACCTCTTCTTGCTCTTGTGGGTGCGTGTAGGTGGTGTAAACGTAGAAGCCCCATGTTGGGTCCGGGCCGGTAGTAAAATTGTTCAAAAACTCCTTACATGCTTTCTTTTCATCGTTATATAGCCCCATAATAAATTCTTTGGAGTTACTTCTGATGTGATCGTTTTCGAAGGTTAAGGGTTAAGAGTGCACGAAAACGTAGTAAGAAGGCAGAAGTCACGGGTGAGCGGCCAAGACTTCACCTTGGCACCAAAATCACCCTGTTTTCAGCCCACATCAGCGCTTCGTAATCTTGTACGAATGATGTCACTTCATGCTAGAATAGACACAGTAGTAGTACAGTTTTGGTATGAACATGTCGCTACCTAGGTAGACATCAGGTCTATATTGTGAGTTAGTGCTCCTCACATCACACTGCAAAAGTCCTCCAACAGTAGGTAGACCCATGCGTCAGGAAGGCTCACAGACGAGGATTGTTAGTGATTCCGGGCGGACTGACTATTCTGGTGAGTTGAGGTGGCCTTGGAAGTCCTTACCCATGTTATTTCCTAGAAAGGCATCTACTTTTGGCAATGACTTCGATCAGAAGGCGGCTCAGCAACACTGGATATGCACTCTGGCTATCAGCTTGTGGCCTGCTAAAACCTTGTGGAGCTTAAAGTCAGCCTGATGGCCTGAAATAAGGTACCCTAGTACGGTAAAAAATTCTACGCAGGCGACCCACGGGCGAAATCCACTGCAATAACAGATGCCTGCGCCCATAGTGTGTGCGATCGCGTACCGTGCAGCCCGTGCCATCCAGGCGCCCAGGCACCCTACATACGCTAACGAGCAACTCATCACCGGATTCTATCACTTACCTGACAAGCAGCAATCCAGCGTTCAATAATTAACACTTGCTGGCATTATACTATTGTAGGCCCACTTTTTAAGGTCATATAGCTTGTAACTTCACCTTAGTATTGCTAGATACGCTATCTGCCTTTCTAAACGTTCGTTTGTAAAACAAATTGTAGCGCTAACCGAAATCGGTTTCAGGGTCTTGCACTTCGCTTGTTCTCGCCGCACAGTCCCCCAGCAAAGTACTTACTGTTCTAGTCCCAGCGCTATACACGGGGCTTGTCGTACTGTATCAATCCTACAGACTAGGATAACTTAGTCATTCCCTCTGACTCTTGTAGTAGCTTCAAAGGAGTACTTCTATAGTTGCCAGGGTATTCAGCACTAGTGCTTATGATAATGGTATCTAAGTCCTGGTATTGGCGCCATTCTTACCCTCTACCGTGTAGTAGGTTGCCTTTTCCTCGCTCCTATAATAGATAGTTCGTCAGAGCCTAACATTAGTAACCTTTTCCATGCTTTTTTCCAAACAGGGTCTGACAATATGCTGCGAGAATGTGACACATGTCTTCCATGCTTGGATCGATTACGAGAGGGTCGATCTTCAGGTAATACTCGGGAGGGTTGACGAGCATGTGCAGTTTTATGCTTTGTCTTTCGTGTGTGGTGTCTGCTTTTGCCTTTTTGTTCTTGTTTCGGGTTTTGATCTCCTACTCTCAATTCCCTCCTTTCAATAGGTTCTGTTACGGCTTTGGTTACGGCCTTGGTAACAGCAACCGACTTTGGGGGCTGCTTCTCCATAAACCCTTGAAGTAGCGAATGAGTTTCTGCATGCCCTCCTTTTGCTGCAGTGAGCAATGCACGATTCAGGCTCTCTTTTTGAAATATCTTTGTCTCGCAGAGTAATCTCACGATGCGCGCATTGCCAGTCTCGACAGCAAGCTCAAGGTGCTTCAATTCGAGATCTTCCGGGTCCTCTGTGACCAGCTTCTGCAGATGTTCTATCAGTCCTTGTTTGATCAAAAGCTGAAATAAGTATGCCTGATTGTCAGCTACGTCAAATTCCCACCCCAACTCAGCTCCATGTTCGAGCAGAAGTAGAGCTATATCATCTTTCCTAGCTCCGATAGCACAAGACAATGGCATACCTTCTTCCCGGCTGTGAACGTTCACGAATTCTGGTCTATGCTTAATAAGCATCTCGACAACACGTCGGCAACCCGATTGACAAGCAAATACGAATGCATGGCAACCGTAGTTGTGCCCGTCATCGACGTCGAGACAAGCTCCCATTTCAAGCATCATCTCGACTACAGCTTCGTTGCCAGTAGAACAAGGTGCCTGAAATTGCCCGCTCCAGTAGCATCTCAGTCCACCATTTTCGAATAAGAAGCGGATCCATCTCAGATCCCCGACTTGGCATGCATGATCCATGGCCGTCCGAAGACTTGGAGAGTCACGTTCATAGCTTGCAGTATTCGAACGAGCATAGGTGCGAATATCAAGGTGCTGAAGGCAGAGAGGATTCAGGCCTTCCGTGCAAGCACGCCACACTAGAGATCCAATAAGGTCTTCATGCTCCTTACATCCATAGATGTATGTCCATTTCTTATGGCACGCATTCTTGCAATCTCTCATGAAATCTGTCGTCTTCGCAAGGATGCCTTTCTCGTGCTCGGATGCAGCAGCATATGCCATCCAATTCTTGGAACTGTATCTTATGAATGGGAAGCTGATTTCCAGTTGAGAAACAGGCAAATCGTAATCGACATGCCGCAGGTAAGACATGCATACAACTGCCATGGAAGCTCGTGCAACCATTTCAGTAAACTTGTCAGAATGATTTGAGTACTTGACAAGATATTCTTGGACTGTGAAATGAGCGAGCCGTACTTTTGCTCCTGTGATGTTTTCTGGATCTGGTGTGACGAGCTTTATGAGACTGGAACAGTATTTTGTGACCTCAATGGGCTCGGGCATTCGATAGGCAGGGTGAAAAGCTGTTGGCTCATCTACTCGTACAGCGACAGCATCGACCAGCTCCTCAATTGACAACGGCTTTGGGCTGTAGAGAAGGAACTGTAGTACACATATAGTGTTTGCTTCATAATGGTCCGGCATGCGCGCGAGGATCCTTGCATATGTCTCATTTAGATCCTTTGGTAGATTTTCTAGTGCTTCGCTCAATGCAGTAGGGTCAAGGCAGTCCTCGAGCTCCTTGATCTGGCAAGCAACATACCGGAACCTGGCCTGTCAGCTTTATAAGGACCCACTTGTTAATTCGGTCAAAAGAAACTCACATTCCATTAGCTTTTGCAAGAAGCTTATTTTCAATCTCCATTTGTATAGTTGGTGAATTCTTCCAACGCTCGAGACCGGCGACCTCGTTCTTCACATAAGCGGCAATGTCCCCATCCAAACCTTCACCCTCCACAGCAATGAATCCATTTCGCGCGACTATTTTTTGGAAATATTTGCGTATCTCTTGTTCATCGCGGCTAGTTACCGCAAGATGAGCATTGCCATTCTTGAGATTGACCAGATCTGTGATCCAAGTCATTGCGTTCTTAGCATCCTTTTTGGAGCCCTCTAGCACAAGCTCGTCCAACGCATCAATAACTATCCACACTTCTTTCACAAGTCTCAGCATATTCAAAAATACCCTTTGCAGCTCCTCGGTCGTAGGCGGCCTAGGGGTTTTTTCAGGGTCGCTATCCTTGCAAGATGTATACAGGTCGTCGAGCACTGATCGTGTAGCATTAAATTTTTGGGAGAGCTGCCAAACGAGTGTGCGTATCAAGGTATGAATCGATAGAGTATCTTTCTGGTGGAAGGTAATGTAGAAATGGAGTAACAAATGCGTTTTTCCAACAGCTCTGATGATTGATGAGCTGAGCACCGTCTTACCACAGCCGGGAGATCCGTACAACCACAGGAAATTCTGAGAAGGCCCAAGCCAACGCTGAAATTGCTCATCGTTCAATAGCCAGCTTCCAGAATTTTGGAAATGTTGTTCGCACGCTTCGCGATGATATGTGGAGAAATCGAAAGGATTGAGCCACTGCACCAATTGTGACTGCTGTGTCTCTACGCTCAGTATTTTTAGCTTTGACTCAATCTCCGAAGTAGTCTGTTCAACTGCCGCATGTTACTCGACTGAACTGATGCACCGTAAAACTACTCGTGAACTAACTTGAATCAAGACGAGTTTCCAGTTTCTGCTCAGTATCGACTTTGCTAGGGGCTACCATAGCAAGCAATTCTTTCGTATACGCTGCTGCACACATTGCTGCGTATCCTTGCCACTGGTCATTCTTATGGGTGTCAGAATAATCGCAAATTCCGCGCACAACTAGACAGGGAAATCTGTCCATCAAGCCGGATGCCTCCATCTCGAAGCAAAGCACGCCAGTCTCATGAGAAAGTGTGTCTCGCTCCTTGGCATTCTTCATGAGAATGTCGGCAGAAGCGATAACACCATGAAACACCACAGACTTGTCGTATCGCTTTGGCCAGCCAGTCCGATCGACAATTCTCGCGGAGCCGAAACCGCAAACTGCATCACAGCTGCGGTGCAAGCCATTTTCGTCGTCTAAATGAATGAAATCAGAGTTGTAGAGTCGATCACTGGTCGGATGAGGTCGTCCAAATTCTGACTGCAGTCTGGGATATTTCGTGACAAGCGCATCCACAGATTCAGCGATTCTATTACCATTAATAGTGAATTTAGACTTTAAGCTAGCAACCGCTCCTAACAAAAGAGCGGTTGGTTTATTGAGATGTCCCGTGTACTGGAAGCTACGGTCTTGGATGTTTTTCCCATGCTGATATTGGAAGATGCCTACATTTCCGTTCTGAGGGACACTGACGACTACATCGCCTAGTTGAACGTTATTCGTTGGAGTAGGCGCGCCTCCGCCGATGCCAACCATCAGCCCGATGCGAATATTCTTGAAGGTACGGAGCATATCGCGTGCGACAGACGCTGCAGAACTAGTCCCATAGATGCCGTAGGGTAGCGTCGCAATCGCAACATTGTGCCCTTTGATACTGCCGAGGACATGGGCGTTGTCGTCGCGTGTGTCTTGTTGCTCTAGCCGTTCCGCGTGTAGGTCATCCAAGAAAAAGCGGGCAGCAGTCAGCTCGGTAGGCAGCGCACAGATCCAGCCTACTGTATACTGCTCTTTGGGAAGTGCGCCGGTGGGTTGAGCCGTCGCCATTATCATCGAATGTAGAATCATCTCAAAGGTCTGTGTGCGTTTACTCCCGTATTTATAGATAGGTCAATCGCTATGCCACGTCATTCATCCTGAAAAAGCTATCGCTACCTAAGGTCGCTTTTGCATGACCAAAACGGATTAGTGACACAGTATTCCTTTCATGCACCAGCGTTTCAGCCTGATGGTAAGCATTCTCAGCCTTGCAGAAACTACACAGTATGGTCTTCAGCTGTGGTGTCAGAGTGGCCAAATTCATATGCAATTTGTGGGAAGCCGCTGATCCAAGTCTTCACAAAAGACAATCAGTCCAAAGTTAGATTTGTTGACTGCAATGGAAATGAACATCTCCTAACGCGGAAGCGATAAACAGACTAAGAATTGAAGTCGATAGATGCATGATGAGATGTTGAGGGTAATATCTATTTGTCAGGGGACGGGTTCGCAGGGCTGATAGGAAAAATAGATATTAGGATAAATTATATGACGTAGCTCAAAAAACTACGTGCAGAAAATAAAACAGAATCTTAAATACACCTATTAGGACACGTACCAAGGCGTGCGGATCGCCATCCAGCACCTGCGTACGGCCCTTTCGGACTCTTCACGGCCACACCGTGACACTATCAAGATAAGGAAGTGTTTACGGCCGAGTAATTGAATATTGAAATTTTTTCATGAACGGATGCGCAACAATCTACCTATTTGTAGAAATACGACATCGTATATCAAATTCTTAGTAGCGAAGGCCGCCTAAGTGGAGGCTATAGATTTGAGAATTAGGTCCTTTTTCGGATAAATTTATGATTCCACCGGATTTTACTGTCGGCGGTATAGTTACGCAGAGCTATTTGTAAAGCTGATGCTATATAATACAGCATAATCATACTTTTTATAACCCTAGAAGAGCCAGTTGGTGTCAGATTGTGATAGTTGTTAAAGACCGTGTAGTAGACTGTGATAATTGTATTCTTCTGATGATTTTCTCTCGTGTTCTATATTCTGATAATCCCGTTTTATCGTGATTATTTACTAATCTAACTACTTTAGATTAGTTGTACTACGGTGGGTCGTGGTTGCTAACTAATCACAGAATCTGGGTGTTCTAGAGCACCGGACTTTATCCACCACCCCAAATATGCTCATATTCTGACAGTTAAAGGATTACCGTAACGATTCAGGCAAGACTGGAAGGATTAATATCGGCAGTAGTGCGACTCAGAGGCATAAGGGAGTGTGTGGGACAACAGAAGAACCTTGATTCAAGACAGAACACCTATAGGCCTTGTACGAAAGGATATCAGAAATCTACCGAACAACTACAGTCTCTCTGTCTACTCTGATCCTTCTCGAGCTGAGTGCTACGTACTAGTCCGAGCTAGATCTAGAGCTAGTCCGGTAGTGTCCCGGACTCGCGTAGCCCTCAGATACTTGGTGAAGAGCGGTGTCGTTACAGATTGGGCTTCTAACATGATTAAGTGCCCTACTTTAAATAGTGCGTGATATTGCCGGCGCTACCTTTTATCTCAGCTTTAGCTTATTTCATGTTAGCTTTGATAGGCACGAACCAGTCCCTACTTAGAGGAAGCGCTATGTATTCATAGATTGACTATATATTACTCTTTAGACACTTCGCTAACAGCTATGGTGCAATTCTACTTCGAACTATCTACTTACTACCCTCGGGGCTTTTTTGTTTTATTTAACTAAACATCACATATCTCTCAAGAACATGAAGTGTAATATAGATTCACTCTTAAAGCAAGCATATTAGTCTACATACTAACTTTTGTTATAATAGTCTCCACTCTATTCTTCGCGCTAAGCAGCTTTTCCTTAATAGCTGCCTATAATCCTAGGCACGTTGAGGGCCTAAAGCGCGCTGAAAATATTAAGCGCTCATCTCCCCCCGAGAGTGCTAAAATTCAGAAGAGATGGAATTGTGGTAGATGTTTCTTTGCCGCTTGTCCTGCAAACCACGAATGTTGCCATTGCAGCTATTGCAACACACTTAGCGGTAAGGATCCCAAAGTAACTTTATATATTAGTCATGTTTGCTAATTGTCACAGTGCATTGTTGGCCGGGCGGAGACGGCCACTGATTTCGATAAGAGTTAACTAGGATGTAGCTTCATGATTTATTGTTAGAAAAAATTGTGGATTGTTGTCAAAGATGGATTCGTTAACAGACACTAAAGTTCAAAGACGTAGTTAGTCTCGTCTATATTATACACGTTTTCTGGCAGTACGCATAGATCCTATAGTATCTGACTAATCACATCGAATCACTCTACTATCTTCTCGTATATATTGTTTCCGTTACGCTTCCAGTCTATAGATCTAATACTTCTCGCCTAGAGTTCGGGGTGACGCTTCTCAAACGTTCGTAGCTAGTTCTTCCCTTAGTTAAGCTAGGCTGAGCATAAAATAATCGTGGAAAAAATAACTGCAAAAAGCTCTCCAGCGAGTGAATGTTTTACTTCTACAACAGTAGCTAATGTTCTATCACCTTTCTGCGATAAACTAGCCCCTTGGCGTTGGTAGCATCGCCTTAAAGCGGCATCGCAGCGTTCAATTATCAGCATTGACTAGCTTTGTGCCTACTCTTTGAGAGAATGTGGCTTGCGACCTCACTTCGCTATCGTCCTATGATTCGCTATGTGTCTTTCTGAGTATTCACCTGTAAATTATATTACAGTCGTAACCATATAAGATAATGCGCAGCTTCGTTGTCTTACGTACTGCTTTTTTGGCGCATGGATGGAGTGTATTGTCGTACGCACAGCTCTCCCATTACACTTTGTTTTGCCGCGAAATAAAATTAAAGTAGGAAACCCTGCTGCAGCATTTACAGTGACGTGGCGGATGCGATCTTCAGCTGTGGCGCAAGGCAGATTTGAAGCGGTCATGCGCATAATTTTACTGTGATTCCAGACCGCGTCATAACGCACGTATTGCTCGGCAGCCGCACTTTCCCAACAGTGCGTCTTTCAGGAAAATCTTCCAGGGGGTCTCTAGGATTTTTTTTTTAAAATAGTAGACTTGTGTCTTCAGCTCTGTACGCCAAACTGTATATAATAGGACGTAGCGGAGTGTACTCACATCACAAATCTTCCCTTAACTGGAAGAAGACTTGCAATGCCCTCGAATATCATAACCTCAAGGTACTGGTTTGATTCTTTACCTATTATTATTATTATTATTATTGATTAACGTCCTGTCTCAGCTGGTAGGCTATATAAGACGTGCAGGCTATGC